AGGTGACCCTACTTGAAGACGAACTGTAAGGAACCTTTTATGGCGATGAGACAGTGTCCTGGATCACCTCCCCACACCTCAGCTCCTCAAAACACACACACACGCACATTCATATAGGCATGTTGTCCTGTATCAAATATAGGATCTAGCCCTGAGAGGCAAGGGCAATCAGGTTACAGCAAAGTCTGATGGATGAATCTTAAATGCAACTGCGCCGGGGAATAAAGCAAACGCCACATGCAAACCAACAAAAACCACCCACAACATGTCATATCTTTTTATTCCCACACATATTGTATACATTTATTCACTCTCCATAAAGCAAGCTTCCCAATCGCCTCCCCTCTCACAGAAGAAGCAATGCAATGTACGCGATTCCTCTCCTCCCCTCGATTTCTTCTTGCCCTCCTGCACCTCCAATTCACTGTGCCAAATGGTACATTTACATTGGTCATAACCTCAATCACCATGCTTGCAGGCTATTGCTGAATGTGCAGACAGACATTTCTGCAGTGGAGGGGGGATGCAGACGGAGATATAATGGGAGCGATAGATAGAAACCCCGCGCCTGAGGCATCCATCAAACCAAACGACTCCATTACAGTAAGTCCGACAGAGGCAAACGGTAATGTGCGCAGTGATAAACACTGGGATAATAGTCTGTTTATAGTCCTGGACACACTGTTTCTGCTGGGAAACACTGGCAGGGAATACAGATAAGATACAGGAGGAGCAACCTCTCTCTATCCTTTTCCATTCCTTCTATCGCTCCTCTGCCGTTATCAGTCACTTTTGCTCCCTTGTACTCTTTATCCTTTCCCACTCTCTCTCTGTATAATATTTTCCTTGCGACACAAGCGCACAGGGAGACGCATACATCAGCCGAACGGGGCTTTTTTATCTGGTGTTATACTATTGTAGCATTACCATCACAGTGCCGGAATGAGGCCTGGGAGAACCATAAAAATGGAATGGAAATGATTCAGATGTGCTGTTAAAAAAACAGACGTATCATGCCAGACGCGCCTATCGGTATGCATTTACCTTCAAGGATGCAAATACAGCACACGGAGAGCGGCCCATATACTACCTGCATGTATCAATTAATCATTGGCGGGTCGTTTCCGCTCAGGCGTCGCTTCTCATGTCTCTGATAGTAGGAAAGGGGGGTAAACAAAACAGTCGACTAATCTGACCACGCTCAGTATTCCACAGAGGAACGGGGGGGAAATAGCGAACCTGCTGCAGCTATGAATCAATTATAAGAGTACACAAAAAGGCACTCTCTCTTTACAGATGGGAGGTTGAGGTGAAGGTCTACGGAGGAGGGAGAGAGAAATAAAAAATCATCTGTTGATAATAGTGTTTTTTTTATTCTCAAAGCCCAACGCTTGCATGGGCTGTGTCTACCTGCTCAGAATGAGATAAGGACATTTAAACGCACCCTGATATAAAAGTGGAGAGAACATGAAGTGAATCAAGGGGGGGGGTCCCTCGTTCTTTTACATTTCTATTAACCTGGGGAGCGTCAGCGCTTGATTAAGGGGCTCCTGGATCAGAGTGACCTGGGTGTGTGCCTGTGTTTATGCCCATAGTTAACCTCTATTACAAGGCTGACCTTGAGTTCAGATAGCAGCTCTTCTTCTGCTTTTAATGGAGGCTGTTACGCGGTGAAACAGGGATGGAGCAAAGGAAGAAGAAACACACACACACACACACACACACACACACACACACACACACACACACACACACACACACACAGGGAGACACACATGGTTTGCGGCGCAGCAGGGTCAAAGCAAAGGCCAGTGTCTATTGCACAATATTTAAGATCGGTTAAACTTAACAACCTCCTTCATCCTCTTGGCCTATCAAATAAACTACAACATTAGCCCTCGGATCTCGGACGTAGTTTGGGCCTTTTATGCTCGCCATCCAGGCAATTCTGGTTTTAACAGGATGCGATAAAATGTGGATAATCTCACGCCCACTTGAGGGGATGATGGTGTAGGTTTATTAAAGGAAATGAGCCTTTGGCCAGAGAGAGAGAGAGAGAGAGAGATAATCTAATTTTACCAGGACACTACAGCTTTGAGGAGGAGGTACCCACTGGTGTAGTAATAAGGCAATATGCTGTGGTAATATAGAGCTGGCCATATTTCCACAGCAGAACGTGCATAGTAAATGACACAGAATTGGTGAACTGAAACTGAGGCACAAAATGTGATTCAGTCGTTTTTTTTTCTCCCACAGAGACATTGATGGTATTCTGCTGGTTCTGCAAGTTTTCTAATAAATATAAGACACTGGGGCTGTTAAGCTCAGTCAGTTTCCAAGAACATTGCATTCGTTTTGGAAATGCGCTCCAAGTCAATTATTTCATGTGCTGCAAGAATCAATTGTTGGAAACTCACACCTACCTGCTGCACAAAAGCTTTGCATCTTAAGTGTCAAATACAATTGACTTACTGACATTTCATTATGGGAAACATGCATCAATGTATCTTTGTGTGCTTGTATCAATTTTTTTGTGTGGCTCTATATAGGTATGCATGCACATGCTGTATATGTGTGCATTGAGGCACGATGCAAGAGCCTCATTGAAACTATGGTTGGTTAAGGAAGATCAGTAAGACGAATGAAAAACATGTTCAGAGTGATAGAAAATCACGAGCAAAATGATGTATTTCTTTCTTCCTTGCTCTCTCTGACTAGCTCTTACTCACATGGTTGATTTAACTGTGAAGGTTGCTTTTCCCAGTTATAAATACGTCCCATTCTTCCCCGCTCCGTCCATTTAGACAGGTTTTTTTTATTCATACCTCAAACTGCAGACGAGAAACATGCTGGGGTGGCTCGAACAATTTTCATTCTGCCTCTCTATGTTTTTCTCTCCCCTACTGGTCCCTCTCTCCCTTTTCCTTTTCTCACTATCATTAAGGTGAATTGTGTATATTTATAACCCAATAAAGTTTTAACGAGCATCGTCATTATAGGACATGGAGGTCATGCTGACAGGTTGACAAACACACAAGGATAAAGCCAAAGTACATACGGCATATATCTAACACAAACACAGAGCGCTAACCACAGAGTGTGCCTCCAAAAGGTGAAATGGATTTTGATGCTCTGAACCAAATATTGAAAGCAAAACAGTGAAAAGCCTTTCAAGAAAGATTGCCTACTTAAGTTTATATTTAGAACAGTTTTCCCCAGAGGCAAAAAAAATATTATCTGGAAGGCCTTTTAGATTAACGACTAACAGAGGCATCGTCTCTGGAAAGACATTGCTACAACATTGTTTAAATGCATTTACAAGATCATGAGAGAACCAAAAATTCTGTTTCCATCCATTTCAATGAGTAAGCAGTAAAAGTCTTAAAAGCATATGGACAAACCCAACACAGCAAAAAGAACAAATGAGGGAAATATGTTTGCTTGAAGCTGGGAGAAATTGCCCTTTAAACTGTGACACTAGCCCCAATTCTGTTTGTTTTTTAAACTAATGGATTTACTGCCTCTGGTCTCTCACACTGCTTCCAATAGCATGTGGCCAATGCAAGTCCAAATAAATTTCTAATTTAGGTACTTCACAAGGGAATGATGGTCACACCAAGCACTTGGGAGTGCCATACAGTGATGGTAACGGTGATAAAATGAAACCTAGTGTAATCGTCTTCCTATCTGGCTCATATTTATTGAGTCCCACCGGGGATAAAATGCTGGACCATCAATCACAAGAGCGACCTAATCGCGTAGCCACATCTGCAGGATAACACTTTAGCCCCATCCCAGAGTGCACCATGCTCAGGTTAAGGTATATGCTTCTTCCTGTTTGGTAGATAGCAAATAGCAGGTGTAACGCAACACCGTTATCACCCTTATATCACACAAGAGCAATGACCAGGTGCGAGAAGAAACTCCAAACAAGATACTAATCAAAACGCTAACACCATCTCTGTGTACACACCATCCTAAGACAAACTCAACAGAAACACAAACCAAAGCAGCTGTGGCAAAATCCTTATCAATTTGTTTTAGATAAGAAAACTGAACACGTAACCACAAACAACATGATGCAATGACCAGGCAATCAGGGCAAAGGGAAAGCAATGTGGACACATTTTTTGAGCTAAAAAACTTCAAATTAGTTTATCTTAATGATATATACTTCCAAACACAAGTCATCCTAAGCAGGACCAAACTGATGCAATGACGCGTCTTTTCTCAAGGTAGTCTTTTGTATGTATATTTTTCTTATTATCGAAATTAAAGTCGAGTATTTCATTTCCTATGTGAAATACGTACAGAATCACTGCACACACAAAACAACCAAAATTGTAGCCTGGAACTGAAATGGTTTGACCCTAGAATAAAAAAAAGATGTACACACGAAAATATAATTTGTTGACAAATCTAGAGGGAAAGGCTGGATTTAACCTTTTCAAACGACCCTAATATGAACATTTGACCTGACAGAACGCAGGCTTAGATCATTCTATCCCCAGGTCTTATACCCTAGAGTCCACTCATGCTGAGTAAGAAACAAATGAGTGAACCTATCTGTCATGTGTTCACCTGTGCGGGGCAAAGAGAGAGATAGAGAGATGGATAGGAACAGAAGGGGGGCAGAGCACCATAAATCTCCTGACCTTGGTCGTTGCTCTTTAGCTCTCTGTGTGAAGGGGTTTAGCCCACAGCCTTAAATATTTCAACGCTGCTCGGTTGGCTGGAAAGTGCTGAGCTAGAAAAAGGGATAGAGGCCAAGCAACAGTATTCAACCTCCCCCAGCAATTAACACAGCAGCAGGACATCACTGCAGTGCTCAGTTGTGTGTGTGTGTGTGTGTTTGAGAGTGTGTGTTTGTAACCAACCATTCCTTTGTGTGCCTCTGATTGTCGCCCATTGTCTGGTAAGGGTAGAACACTCCTAACCGTTTGACACTTTAAAAAACACAATTTTAAATTCCCTTTCATGGATTTTTCCAGAAGACTTACCAGTCACTGTGAGTTCAGTCGTCCTTCTGACCACAAAGCCGCCAAACTGGACTTCACAGGTGTAATTCCCAATGTCATCTTCCTTGACTTCCTGGATTGACAGAATGTCTCTCTTCAGAATGATACTGGCACGCCACTGCTTTGGACGGCACTCCTGTTAGAGAAAGGACAAAGCAGCTCTTACAACAGGTAAATCACTTGAGAGGCTAAATGAAAACGACTGGGTGCAGACAGACAGAAAAGGTACTGAGGTACTGAACCATTATCTGAAGGAAATATTCGAGGCCAGTCGGGCACTATGAAATGCAAGACTTTCTCTTTGCTTCATAATGAATTAGATCTGGAAGATTTAAAGTAGTCTGAGCTGGACATAAAAGCTTCCAAACGTCTCTGAGTGTTAGGAAAGTTGAAGTGAGGGGGATCATAAGGTAAGGTAACTTTATTTGTACCCGTAGGTGGATTTCATACAGTGTATAAAACTTGGACGTAGTCTCAGTGACGTCACCAATAGCTTTTCTGAAGAGGCATTTTGAAGCCCAACAATGGTGGTTGACATATTGGAAATGGTTTCTCCACCTAACTTTTGAACACTCTAGAGAGTGGCAGTGAAATGGACCTTGAGCCTACTGGCAAACAAGTACAACGTGCCCACACGTCAGTAAACTAAGCAACACACTTTGTTATACCAGATAATGCTTAACTCTGGGGCTTCATACAATCAAAAAAGATGCCTTGTGCAATTCACCACCCGTACAGTTTCTAACAATAAAGAAATTAGCAATGGAGATTAACAATGTTTTTTTTAACCTGGCTGTAATAATGTTTTTTTTGGCTGGGGATTCCTTGGTTTTTGGAAGTGACACTCAAGTTTTTTTTTGCATTTCAGCATTTGCTCTTTTATCAACACGGAGGTTTCCACTATGTAAGAATCCATAGCTTGGCACTCTGACTTATGGACTCTATACAGTAAAATGATAGGGCTTAGCCATTATCACACTTATCTGATCAAGATTTATTGCACTGAAGTAAATATTCTCCATTCAATATTCCTGTAGAGCCACAAAGGACGGGGAATGTTATTTACAGTAGTCTCTGATGACAAAATAAGTGGGTTTGTGCTACGTATGCGAGTATATGCTTATCCAGGAACAAAGACCGGCTCCATGACATGAATCCTGTCCACCGCCCCTCAGCGCTGCGGCAGAGACAACGATGGCTCTGCGGATTCTATTCCACCATTGCTCCCGGCAACCTTCGAATTCAATCACTGCGACTCCGCAGTGGTCCAAATAACTCTGGGTTCCAGCACTTCCAGTCATTACCCAGGCCATAATTGAATTCTGGAAAAACCTAGAGGTCGAGCTCGGCCAGCTAATCTACTGCTGATCTGCCTGTGATTAGTCTGGCCTGAGCCCTTCTCTGGGATGCACTTTGTTGTCCGCGGGCCATGCCTGACCTGGGAAAGGCAGGAGGCAGGAGTCCAGGTGAGAGAGGAGAAAAGTGCATGCTGCATAAAGATCAGGGGACAAGGAGCAACTGGAGGACATCCACTCATTTCCGCGGGGCACGAGAGTGACATTGCACAATTTTCTCCTCGTACAAGATTTCTGTTCATTACTAAAAGCCATCTCTGTGGGTGCACTCTGCTCGGTCCTTATTCTCCTTAGGTGACTCTTCAAGCACAAAGGCACTTATGTAATTCATTCGGATCATTTGCATCTCTATATAATCAGCCTAAGTGATCTGGAACCATATTTTCAACAAGGCTTTTCAATATAAACAGCCTAGAAATACGATAAAAACAAACCGATGAACCATTAAAGAATATCTTTCGGTTGCATAACCACAAAGACAGGCTCTCTCTCTTTATTACTTTTCCCTAACATGTGAATAATATTCAAGACACAACAATGGAAAATTAATGAACCTCCAGGCAAATGAGTCAGAAATTATAAGACAGCACTGTAAGTATAATAAAACAAGCAGGCTCTGTCAGAGAGATGGCGTACCTTGTACCAAGTGATGTCAGGCTCTTTGCCGGGTTCCACGTAGTCGTCTATGTCAGGGCAAAGGATCTCTTTACTCTTACTGAGCTCGGCCTTCTCGTTTCGTCTCATGTTGGAGTTGTAGCACAGGTTAGTGTCATTGTCGGCCACCGTCAGAGACATGGACACCTTCATGCAGTATGTGGAGTTCCTTCGGGGAAGAGAAAACGGATACAAGGGATCAAGATGCTGCTTCTCTGACATTGGGAGTTCAGTAAAGAACATCATCTTAATCATCACCAATTAAGAAGTTACATTCTTGAGGAAAAAAGATGACGAAACACTTTCCTTATGTGGAAACAAATAAAGCACCATGACGCCACCACTAAAAATGAAAGGAGTGGAATTTTCTGTTCACTCCCTTTGATACCCTTGCAGTTTATTTTTATCCTTATGCATCCCTCAGCTGACTCCAAACCCCTCCCCCCTCTGTTTGTGGGGTTAGCAATAACGACGTGTTCAGCAGCTTTACCGAGTCAATGACTCACGCTCACCACCGCTATTGGATTTATGGGGGGAGTCGGCCGGGCCTGGGAATGCTAATCAGAGGAGAGGCAAACGTTGAGAGGGGGCCTCATGACATAAAAGTAAGTTGAAAGCTGCTTGGTCATCACAAGGAGTTAGTCCCCCACCGCCCCCACCGCCCCCCCCCCGTCTCCCAGCAACCATCAACACACTTCACCTCTGATGCACACTGGTAGAGAAGTCTCTCTCTCGCTCTCTCTCTCTGACAGTGTTATTAGTGTCATTAGCATCATAATCATCATCATCATCATCAAAGTCAACATTCTTTCAGACCACAGCACCTGCGCCATGACTGTCGCAATGAGTTCCCTGTCAGGCTCATGCTACATGATTAACAATGTGGACGCTCAATCAGAGCATTCTAAAACTTAACCTCTAAGTCAGCTACGCTCTTTAGGAAAGCCTTTTAAGTCTCACACATTAGGTATGGGGGGGTAGAGGGGGTCCTGGCTTGCAGGATGTTAAATTAATTTGTATTTATTAATGGAATGGTTTGTAGAATACTCAGACACCCTATAAGATAACTACCAAAAAAAAAAAAAAAAAGCCTGTAGTGCATAACTTTTAATTAAACATTAAAGAAGTTTAAATCGACTTCTTCGACCATAGCAAGACTTCTGCAGTCGTGGGAGAGCATACTCAGCCGGTTTCTTATTTCTTTGTTGTGGTACTCAGTGTCTCATAATGTACACAAGAGGCCTTCACTGCTGCATTAGATTCACCAGGCGTTTAACTTACTCTAAATTAAACCCTCCATGTGCAATATTAGATAATAAAGAGATATTGGCTTTAGTGAGGTAGGAGATAAACTGACTGAGTGTGCAGTTATCGTTGACAGATCACCTATGATGATGGTCTCGATATTATTGATGATGATGATGGTAATGACGATGGTTTTTGTTTGCTAAACGATGACTTATAAGATGGTTTCTATACTGATTAGAGCTCTCAAGAACTGCCCTCAATGTTGTGCTTTGCCTCTGGTCACTTCCTGTCAGCACCTGTGTGTCCAATCGGACTCAAAGCTGATCGTTTGCTCTTACTGACATTGTTCCCTTTTTTCTAGATCCTTGCTTGTGTTGTACTTACTCTCTGATGTACGTCGCTTTGGAGAAAAGCGTCTGCTAAGTGAATTGTAGAATTGTAGAATTGTATGCCTTGGAGAATGAGGTAAGCCTCCCCATGTGAAACCTTGTGTTTAAATCTACCCACTGATGCACTTCTGGACCTAAACTATGTGGTTATTATCTCTAACCCTATCTAAACAGGCTACCTGACAACGTGTAAGGCAGTAAAAAGAGACAACACTTTCTATTGCATCTGAGGGGTGCGGGCAAAGTGTCTGTGTTTTAGGACCTTGGGTTGTAATGCGTTTTCATGACAGCCGGGGAGAGGACCATGTTGTTTTGTTCAAAAGGTGAGAAGACTACGATGACCCAAGGCTAGCTGAAAGGAGTTTGGGAGTTAAGAAGGTTGGCTGATATTTCATGGGGGCCTAGTTACAGTCGGATGGGAATTGTGACTGAAGAGATGGAGTTGTATTTGACTGCTTAAAGGACCAGGAGTTAGTGGAGGTACTTTGAGACAGAGCTGGTATTTGGAAGTTCTGACAATAATGAAGTGTGTCAGGGACTTTCTGTCTATGTACAATGAAGAATGTTGTGCAGAAGACCAGTCTAGCAGTACCAGAGATTCTTTCTGTAATGTGCAGAAAGACATTGACATGACCCTGCCCCTTTTTGCATGGGGGGCAAGGTCATGTCAAGACAGGAAAGAGCAGCCTCCAAAGTGTTACCACAAGCCGGAAAGAAAAACCTACGACTTCAAAATTCATGACTGATAGTATGAATTTTCATGAATTCATACTTTTTGGTAACTTTGTGAATCAGCCATTTAAATCTGTCTACCATCTCAGAGTAACTCTTCTCTTAGGTTGAAGCTGTAACCATATCTTTGTAAAACATCTCATAGCAGCAGAGTTATATTTGGTTTGGAGCCAACTGTCTGTTGTAAGCGAAAGTTTGCTAAGAATGAAATGTATGTGTCTGACATTTACGAGTCAAGCTGAGGTCTTCTTTCTTGCCTCATAGAGATGTACCAAAGTAGCCAAGAATTTGTAGGATGTACCTTCTAGCAGAATATAAGCAAGTCTGTTAACATAGAAACTTTGTCAGTACTTTGTCGGTTCGTGCTTGTTAACAATTTGTGTTCTGTTGTAACTGTCTGACCTCGGCCGATTAAACCGTAGAATAATCCACAGTCTGTCCGCGATTTCATCATTGAATTTATACAGCAGCAACAACCCCCACCCAACAATTAGCTTTAGGGTTAAGATTTTCCTTCATTTGTAATAAGTGGCTTCATGGTCGGAACCATAAAAAAAAACGCCCCAGACTGTAAGTCCATATTGCTTTATAATAAATGTGTGTCTGTGTTTCTATCACCTGCTACCCCGGCCCATCCCGGGTGTGATTCGACTCGGTCAGTCGCCCCGGTCCTTTGAACGGGAAGCCGTGTGCGTACAGCCATATGGGCTTTCATTTCATTTCATTACATTACATTTACAGCTCACCAGATGCTCCCATTCACTGTAAATGACAGGGTTTCATATGATCTACTCAGGTTATGGAAGCAATAAGGGAGTCACCTCTCTTATATAAACACCTCTGACCCCTCGGGACCATAAAACACAGATGCGCACACACACACACACACACACATACACTCACACACGCTAAAAGGACAAATGTGGCTATGTGCAGCTGTGGAGCATGGGGTAGAGATAGCAATGAGATGTGCAGAAGAAGAATAGCTCTTGGAATGAGTAAAAAAAAATAGATACTGTATGCTTCTACAATATAGAAGATGACTAAAAGGGCATCTGGAAAATGCTGTAGGAAGTAAAAGTAAGATGTAAGATAATGCAACAGAGTTATGCCCTCTTGGTGCTGAAATCTCGCTTTATCGACTCGATGCCTCCTATCTAGAGGAAAAGGAGTGGGAAGATGTGATGCCGTGGGCTAACAGGGTACACTTAAACAAATATATATATTTGTTTTAAGAAACAAACGCGGCCGTGCAAACACACATGTGGACACACAGATGCACCAACGCTCACAAAGGCAAACTCCCTCGCTTTGTTGACATGAAGAGAAGAGATCAGAAATGACCTCTCACAGTCATGCACCTGAGCCGCTAAGGTCCCAAGGGAGCCAATGGGAGACATCCTCGCATGTTGAATATTCACAGCGGGCACCCCCGTGGCATTGTGGGAAGGTGTCAGGGGTTGGCGTTTGATTGATGGACAGCTGGGGGTCGATGCACAGTCCTGTGGTGTCTTTCACGTCTGTCACTTCCTATTTCAACGTAGCTGATTTGGGATTTTAATCTGCAGCTCACGCTAGTTGTGATTCTCCACGTGTTATTATCCTGCATGTTGGAAAATGTGATCATGGGAAGGGAAATAAAAGCGCTTTTACCCACTCCAGGGCACACACTCATTACCTTATTATTAAAAAAATAATTTGTCAGGTGAAACATAAAGGGAATGCGGCAGCATGTGAGAGACAGAACGAGGAAAGAAAGAAAGATTGATGGGCCTGAATCGATGCTACAGACCTTATGTGAGGTGACATGCAGAGGAGAGAGAGAGAGAGAGAGAGAGAGAGAGAGAGGAAGCGAAGGCAGAAAAAGAAAGCACGCCGAGATTGCTATGTAAATGAAGTCACCTTCATGTGAAAAAAATGGCGATTAGACTTAAATTTTCCAGACAGAGAAGGACAAAGATAACCGTTCACACTCTGAATGCACACATTTGAAGTCACACAATTCCATATCTCTTTGTGAGGGAAAACATCTGGAGGGCTTCAGTGAAAAGCTGGACTTAACACAGATGGATTTACCTACATTTATAGATAGTACGCAACACGCCCCCAGCTATTGAAAACTATCCTACCGTGTATGCGGTGCAGGCAGAAGGTATTAGAGCAGTGACACGTTTTTTCTTTTTTTTTTACATTCAGTTGGCTTTTAAACTCCAGCACATTCGATTTGAAATAAAAAAGTGACTATAACTTTTAAATACTGACTATCAGTTTTTATTAGCTTTTCAGGGTGCTAGCATCAACATCAGATTGAACTGAGATACAACAAAATCACTGAAGCTCAGTATACAGCCATGATTGTTTTTAAATAGCCCATTGTTTTAAACCTCAAAATGTCTGCAGCTCATGCTGACTGAAGAAACAAAAGTATTCAACTCAACACTCACAGTCCTTATGGGGAATTATATTTGGTCAAAATTACCTCCTGCAGTGTCTCCTACCTCCTATCTCCTTAAAGAGGACATATTATACCCCTTTTTCCACCTTTTCAAACAGCCCCCTGTGGTCTAAATGAAACATCTGTGCTGTGCTTTGGTCAAAATATAACATGAATCAAGCACCAGAGGAGGTTTGTGACCCTGTATAAACCAGCTCTCTCAGAACGCTCCGTTTTGGTGTGTGTGTCTCTTTAAATACAATGACCCCCCCCCCCCCCCGAGTTTTCCTGGTAGACATCAGTCTTTCGCTAGCAGGAATAAAAATGGCTGACCTGCGCATAAGTTTTGTTCTAGGCTGAAGGTGAAGTCCATGGGTGGAGATATCAGGGGAGGGGAGTTTTTTTGTTGTTTGTTTTACCAGATCCCTCTTGTGATGTCACAAGGGGAGTAAATTTGAAACGGAGCATTTTGCTCTGTGTTGTAAGACTTATGCAGACCACAAACAAAGGACTGGATGGGTTTATTTCACATTTTGTGGGTCGGTAGACACTCAGGTTACCTAAATATATGTTCAAAAACACTGTACAAGTGGATTTTTAATAATAAGTCCCCTTTAAATATAAAAAATATCCTTATCGAGGAATAAGCACTGATAAGATTAAAGGTCTGTCAGGTGGAGCTTTATGTGTTAGCCAACAAGTAATATTCACCACGAGCGGGGTAGGCAGGCGTGATGACGTTAATATCCCGCGACCGCTGTGAAACATGTTTGATCTTTGTGTGCGTTATAAAACTGCTTCATTCTCTTTCACTCTTTTGTTGATACTGTGAAAACATCTAATGAGGAAAAAACACGTCAGACTCTTTAGCTTTCTGACATTTCTACAGCATCCTTTTCACATCACAGCTCCCGTGACCCACCCCCCTCCCCCTCTCCCAAATGACAGTGAAAATCTCCCGCTGTCAGAGTCACGTGTGAAAGGGAAACTCAGGACGACTTCATATCGGCATGCTGTCCTGGAATTTTCTAGAACATTTCAGGAGTGCATGTGTGAAAGGTGTTTTTGACTTCCATCATGAGGTGAGCTTTTTTTTTGGACCTTGTAGACATTTTCTATGCCAGGAAGGTTAATATACATATGTAGAACCCCATTATGGCTTTAAGAGAGGCTGCAGGTCATCACTGAGGTTAGTGCTAAGTAGTTATGTCTTACAGTGCTCCAGAAAGTCACCTTCAGTCAGAATCATTATTTAATTTGGCTTATTTGTCTCTGTGGTACGTGAGTTTAACATGAATGGCTTGTTTCACTATGTTTCAAGGAACTGACCGGAATTTTGTCTTTATTCAAACTGAACAAATGATGAAGGCCACGAGCCGAAACGCGTCGGTCTAAATTGTTAATAAAGTTGATCTTCTTACTACTAAGTGTTGCTGGAGCATTTTGACATCTAAGCCTTTCACTCTTCATGCACTTTGTCAGTTGGTGAAGTTTGTGCCAGAAAATCCTCTTTTTCTTCAAACTGAACAAAAACATGTGATCCAAATCAGTGAACAGATATTCAGTAAAAAGATTAAAGTTGCTAGATTAGGTCCCACGACTAATTAACACTGAAATACAATGTGTGTAATATGAAACCTACTATGCATTCTTATTCTGTAACGCTACACAGTGCTGGTGGCACATAATGTGCTTTTAATTGCATGTATTTATGATGACATTAAAGTAAGTCATTATGGTTTTCTGTGGCTACATACACTGAGGCACCAGTTCATTAGGTACATATTTTAAGTTAATCAAACAAAAAGACGACAGAAGACTTTAAAGAAAGCCAAACTGTACAACACTAAATGTACATTTGCTATTTGAAAGAAAAGTGTCACATAATTCAAGTCAACTCTATATTGATATTTGCCTTTGCTAAATACTGTTTGAAATGGTTTTTATAATAGGCATAAAGGATGTCACCCACTGCATGAATATACTCTTTAAAACCCAAACGGGGTGAAGAAAAGACAAAGGCTCAGTTCCCCTTCTCTTTGCCTCTCTTTGCCTGGAGGGAGTTTAAGAGGGGGGAATGTTTGGGTCATATGTGCTCAAATGTGTGACTCAAAAGCTTACCCCCCTTACAAAAAGACCATCGATTTCTGCTCTGAGGCAAATCTCTCGCAGTACTTTGATTAGGAGTATCTGAGAAGTTAAAAATCTCCCCAGCTCAGCACGATGAAGACAGAGCTGAACACAGAGCTGGGGGGTTTCTTTGAATAACTATCATACTGGTAGCAGTGAGCTCCGTTTCAAACGAACACACAGCGTCTGGTGAAATAGTCAACAATCGCAGACTTTATGAATTTAATACTGGAAAAGTACTTGAAAGTGTTTTGTGCAGTAATGAAATTAAGTGCAGGCTCGGGTATCGTTGCGCACAAACATACTCCCCCCGGTCACACTCCACGTGTTGTGCACGCCTCTCTGGGTCTTTAAGAGGCCTTTAACTGGGTTTATTAAAAACGCTCTGAAATGAAGAGCTGCAATGAGCCATTTATTGAGGGATGTTCTCCACTGTAAAGGTTAATAAGTTACTGACACATAATTATGCATCCTGTATTAGGAGGAGGCTCTCTGTAACGGCCCACTAAAGTGTGTGAACGAGTGTATGTGTGTGTGTTTGTGCTTGTCTTTGTAGTCTGTTATCTCGTTGTCTATGCCGTATCTCCACTCAACACCTCAGATAGATTACAGTTCATTAGCTTCCTCATATTATCCCTTGCACACACACTCACAAACATAAACACACGTAAATACACAGACGCACAAAAACACAGAGACAGCTTTATCTACGACGGTTTTTAAATAATAGAAGTGACAGTTTGAATAAGTGATGTGCCATAAGTCATTTTTTAAAGTATCAACTCAATGAGTAAGCAAGATAAATATGCCGACAGGATCAGATGATTTCATCTCTTTGAGAGGTACAGACACTACTTACACGTTTGAGGATCAAATAGGCGACATCTGAAAGAGGTTTTTTTTTCCCCCCCTCAAACACACTCTAAATAACTTTAGAAAATAAAGATGAGGTTTTTTTTACCTGATTAAAAGCAATACTTTAATAATTAGGAAATATTATTTGCAATTAAGGCGATGAGGATGAAAGCTTCTTTCATGTT